TGATGGGACAGGTGTTGTGAATGAAACGGTGCCCAGCTTGAAAGAACTCCTGTGTGTCACTGAATGTGTGAGAAGATGACTGAAAGACATCTTCTGCCTCCATTTATCTGTTTACTTCAGTGTTTTTTTTTTGTTTTTGTTTTTTTTTAGAGATTTTTCCTCTATGTAAAAAAAAATTTGCGGGTTGGGATTTTAAAAAAAGTCTAATCAACCAAAACATTTGCAACCCCCATGCAGTAGCTCCATGGACCTCCTCGGAGACGCGGACCCCCTGTTTAAGACCTCTCCTGTAGAACATTAAGAGAACCAAATAGCCATTTGCTGCTCTAAAAAACCTAAAATAAAGCAGAAGAAAACTGTTCATATCTCACTGTGCCTGAAGTGCAGCAAGTTAATGTTTACATTCATTTCAATTAAGTTCATAACTTGCTCAGTTTGCATTGTTAAAATAAAACTGTAAGGATAACAATAGTAAAATAAGCTATGTGTGACCTCTCTGCCTGTTTATTTCATTTATCATAATGTATATATGATGTCCTATATACAGGGGCCATAATGGGCCATGACCTGTTCTACAGGGGCACTGGCCCCCATTTGGCCTGTATCTAGAACCGCACATGCATCTATTACGTACAGTTGGTGTTTTCCAGGGTCTAGATTTAAAAATTCAACACTATCATATAGTGTATTTTTTCTTTGATTTTATGCTGGGAGAAAAATCATCCTTTTTTTGAGATATTGTTTTATACAGGCAGTTAGAAACTCTCTAGATTGCATTTCTGCCATGAAATGAAAATACTTTATAAAACATTGATTTTTTTTAATATATCAGTAATGGAGTGACCAGCACTGCTCTCTCACACAGGGGCAGATTTACCATTAGGCAATACTAGGCAGCTGTCTAGGGCCCCAAGTTCCTGGGGGCCCCCATAAAACTCTGTTTACATGTATGGGTAATACAACTATTCCTTAATTCTGTTTTTGATTAAAAAAAAAAATTATTTGGCTAAAATGCCATCAGAACGCTTACAATATTGTGTCTTCAGTGTCCGCCATATTGGATCAGTCCATTTGCTGCACATGTTCAGAAACCTCCAAACAGACAGCAGCAAACCATTTGAAAACAAACGATGCACTTTTGTCGCTATGTTTAGCCACTTTCCAGACCCCTCTAGATCTTTGATTTCAAAAAAGCGTCTAGCACCAAATCTAGCAACTTTTTCTGCTACTGGAGACTTTGGCGACAACAACAGCAGCGAACTCTGCTCTCCAGAGCGAGTAGATTGGTAACCCCGCCTCCTGCTCTCCTCTATCTTGTCTGCTGTCACGATTCATGCAGCTATTATTTCACCCAAATGAAAAATGGAGAACAGATAAGCAGATCATGGCTTGTCTACAAAGAAAAGAAGGACTGGGTTATTTACTTTTTTGGAAACACAGGAAGGAGCAGTTAGCTAAGTGAGCTTAGTGATGGGAAAAAATCTTTCATTCCTTTTGAGACGGTGTAGGTACCAGATTGACTCGGGGGGCCTGCGCCTTTTGAGATGCGTCCGAGCGTCCGCCATCTTAAATGTGGCAAATCTGCAGTTTCTCAGTCACTTAAACAGTATCAGAGGGACTTTCATCTCTGAATATACTTTGTATTCGTAGTATTTTTGTTTTTGTAATATTACAAGTTTATTTTTTGTATCCCTTTAGCTTCATTCTCCTGAATTTATTCTCGTTACAAATGCAGACCGCGGGCTCAATGTAGTTTGTTTGAGTGGTGTTGCCTTAATGTGACGTCATCGGGAGGCGC